CCTCTGAGTAAATTGCATCCAGATGCAATGTTTTATTAATGAAATCCCCAGTTTCAAGTGTGCGTAAGTTGTCAATGTGTGTTATGATTTATCCAACCCGCTATCCACCCATTCACTTGCCTTTTGGCCCATTAGTAAAGAATTCTCGAATAAGGATCAGAATGATGCTTGCATGTTGGTCGTTTGCGACAAGGAAAGTAAATTTTAAAGTTATTTGTTAGTTTGTCACGATCATTTTCGGATTATGGAATAAATTCTTTTCTTAGAACTGATACTGTTTTACATTTTACTGGAAAATGTCACCTGTGTGGAGTTTTTTGTTGTTTTTTTAAACATGTGATTTTTGGATAGTTTGTTTTGTTTTCTAATCAGCATTAGATTGAATCAAAAGATTTCTTTTTCAGAGTGTTGACATGTTACGATACCGCACTGCTATGAACTGATTTTGCTGACAACCAATCCCAACTCCCCCTTCCCCCTCCCCTCCCTCAACAAGTCTTTCTTCCTTGCGTAGGATCTGGAAATGAACAGCATTATCAGGCCATATTATTATTTTCATGTACGTGTATATGTTTCTATATTTAGAATTGACCTAATTTAGTTCACCACATATTCCACCATTTATTAATATACCAGGCTTACTGACCTCCTTTACAGATTGCAGTTCCTTTGTGACAATAAAGCTTTGCTTTTAGGCGCCTTACACATTGTCTCTTGAGTTGTTTTTTTAGTTAATTGTTTGTTTTGTTTGTCTTGACTTATAGAATACATGTTATTGTTAAACGGCCCAGTGTGGGGGCTTTCTTGGTCTAGAGGTATGCCGTTTGCCTCTCATTCAATAAGTCTCGTGTTTGAACCCTGACAGCAGCGACAAATGTTCTTCTCTTAAATATAGATCCACCCCTTTCACCTACTTTCCTAGTATTCTGTAGGCATGTTCTGTGGGTGGTTGGCGGGTGCTCTGGTGTGGTTTGTTCTTCTTTTTTATGTTTGTTACTCTCTTGTAACATCTCTAATCTTCTGGCGTTCATATGACCTTATGCAGTTGCAAGCGCCCTAAAACCTCTACTAAAACTAAAAGGCATGTTCTGCTTTCACCTCCACTTTCTGTGCACCCCCCCTTTTTTTTTTTTTGGTTTCCTCTAGGCTCCTCTCTCCTCTACTTCTGACTCAACCAACAGCTACTTTTGGCTCCTTCTTACTGCCGTCTTTCAACCACACTTCTGATCTTAGGGTAGGTCCTGCGAGCACGTTGCCCATTTTAAAGATCCCTTAGTGGTCTAAAATCGCTTAGAGCAGGTCCCCTCCCTCCGGGCAAAATTCTAAATTATTTCCTACTAAAACTGAAAATACTCTAGTCATTATAAAACCAGAGTACCTTCGAAATTGGAATGTGGCTGCCTGAAGGTAAGGGGTCCTACTAAGTAAGAAAAAAGATCACCTTTCAAAAAAATCAATTTTGCACTGCAGGTTGAAGAACCAGAAGTTGTGGGTGGTTGGCGGGTGCTCTAGTGTGATTTGCTTCTTCTTTCCTATCAAACATCTATTGTCCTTATCTCTCCTTCTTTTTTATGTTTGTTACTCTCTTGTAACACCTCTAATCTTTGGCACTTGCACACAGGACCTCCGAGATTTTTTGCCCTTGTCCGTGAAGGATAGGTGTTAGATCTTATGTACCATGAGATTAGGGATGTGGCTAAAAGACAGCAGTAAGGAGCCAAAGAGTAGCAGTAGAAAGGCTGCAGAAAGAGCCAGGAGCCCAGAGAAGGGGGCAAAGGGGGAGGGGGGGGGTAGAAGACGGAAAGTGGAAACGAAAGCAGACAACAGAGCGTGGTTAGAGAGCAAGAAAGGAGGTAAAAGGAGAAAATTTTAGAGAAGAAACATTTTGGATCACTATCAGGCTTCGAACGCACGGCCTATTAAACGAGAGGCCAACACCGTAACCTCAAGACCACGAGAGCGTGGGTGGTTGGCGGGTGCTCTGGTGTGGTTTGCTTCTTCTTTCCTATAAAAAATCTATCTTCTCTATCTCCCCACTTTCTTCTTTTTGAGTTTGTTACTCTCTGGTAACACTTCTAATCTTTGGCACTTATATGACCTTATTGTGTTGCAAGTGCTGTAAAACTCTTACAAAAACTAAAAGACCACGAGAGCCCCCGGGGCATGGGCCGGGAACACAAGACAACAAGATAAAGAAAAATTAAATCGACTAATACGGAAAGCGTGTAAATTTCAACATCTTCATTCCCCTACCTGGATGAATTGTACATAACAACTTGCACTAAAAAAATCAATTCCATCTTTTTAGACAACAAACATTCCTTGTTCCCTCAAATAAAAACATCAGTCAGAAATAAAAGAACTAGGCTTCTGATCTGTAACAAATAAAGATACAGAAGGTCATTTTTACTATCATCCATCAAAATTCTTCCATCTTAACCATCTTGTAAAAGTACATGTATTCATATGACCTTAGAGCATGCATTAGAATAACATTGAATATGTATCTAGCTTCAGATTCTTATTGTTTAAATTGCTGTTCATTTATATTATGCATGTGACTGTAAGCCTGCGTGTGTGTGCATGTTTGTGTGTGTGTGTGTGTGTGTGTGTGCGTACGTGGTGAAACACCAAACCAATGTGCACGGATCTGGACAATAAAGATGTCTCTTATCTTATCTTATCTTAAAAAGGTGAAAGTTAAAGTAACTTGAAGGGCCAGACCCCATCAGAGCAAAGGCAGAATTTTTTGTTGCTGTTTTAATAAAATTAGGATTTCAAAGTTGAACGACATCGTTTTGCAAGTCTTGTATCTTACATAGCTTTTATCTCACTTCCAGCTGTTCAAGGATATTAAGAGGCAGGATCATGGGATTTATTATGTGAGACAGCGTGGTGAAATCAGGCACTCGTCAAAATAACGAAAGTGAAGAAACTGACGCTTTTTCGCAGGTTTGGGAATTTTGATCTAATTTTTGTTTTTTGGCTCAACACCTTCTATGTCCATTAAAGAACACATTTCTGTATGGATTTTATTGAAAAACATTGACTAAAGGCACAAAAAATGTAAATTTTCAGTTTCCATGGACTCTCAAGCTAGAAAGAACTAAACTTTGGCGGCCATTTTCTGGCAAATTTTACCACTGAAAGCAGGCAACCCCACCCCCTTCAATCGCAAATATAATATCATCGAAAACAAGGTAAACGAACAACCTTTAAGATGGTACCAATAACTTCACATGACCAAAAATTGATGAGCGCCTGGTTCCACTGTCGTGACACATATAATATGTATCTTTGATACCACTGGGTCAGGTGGGCCTGAAACTATTTTTTAGTTTTAGTTTTAGTAGAGGTTTTATGGCACTAGCAACTGCAAAAGGTCATATGAGCGCCAGAAGATTAGAGGTGTTACAAGAGAGTAACACACATAAAAAAGAAGAAGGGGAGATAAGGACAATAAATGTTTGATAGGAAAGAAGAAGCAAACCACACCAGAGCACCCGCCAACTACCCACCTGGAACTTTGAAACCTATAAAAACAACACAATTAAAAAATTTCACATCAGGGATTCAAACCTGGTTTATCCATAACAAAGCCCTGCATAAATAAAAAATAAAATAAATTACACTTTTATTGATCCCAGAAGGGACCAAGTTGTATCTGGCGCTCATCAATTTTTGGGCTTGTGGAGTTATTGGTATCATCTGAAAACTGTTTCATTTGCCTTGCTTCCAATGAAATAAATATCCATGTATCTTGCATAGAACTCAAGATATTTGCGATTGAAAGAGTTGAGGTCGCCTGGTTTTCAGTGGTGAAATAAGCGAGAAAATTTCTGAAAATGGCAGCCAAAGTTTGGTAACTCCAACAGCTAAAGAAAAATGAGATATTTTGAGCCTGTAAACAATGTTTTTCAGTAAAATTCATATGGAAATGTGTTTTTATATGGACACAACAGAGGTTGAGTCCAAAAATAAAAATTCGATAAGAATGTCCAAACTTGCAGAAAAATGCCTGTTTCTCCAATTTCTGTACTTTGACGAGCGCCTGATTTCACAACGCTGCCTCACATTTAGATTATTTAGGGGGAACACTTCGACCCAGCCTGTCAGGGCCAATGAGGGCAGAGAGGGAAGCAACGTCCAAGCAGAAAGACCGATCGAGATACTCAAACAAAATTTTTCTCTACCAGGAAATTAAACTCTGGTCTCCTGTGTGCGATTGTAAAGTGCCTAACTGCTCCACCACAGAGAGATTACTAAGTTTTTAGTTTTAGTAGAGGTTTTATGGCGCTCGCAACTGCATAAGGTCATATGAGAACCAGAAGATTAGAGGTGTTACAAGAGAGTAACAAACATAAAAAAAAGAAGGGGAGATAAGGACGATAGATGTTTGATAGGAAAGAAGAAGCAAACCACACCAGAGCATCCGCCAACCACCCACAGATTACTAAGTGATGAAGGAAATTATGTATGTGTCATGACGAGACTGTATCAGGCGCTCGTCAATGTTTGGGCATGTGGAGTTATTGGTATCATCTGAAAGCTGTTTCATTTGCCTTGCTTCCAATGAAATAAATATCCATCTATCTTGAATAGAACTCAAGATGTTTGCGATTGAAGGAGTTGAGGTCGCCTGGTTTTCAGAGATGAAATAAGCGAAAAAATGGCAGCCAAAGTTTGGTAACTCAAATAGCTAAAGAGTCCTTGAAAAAAGAAAAATGACTTATTTTGTGCCTTTATCAATGTTTTAAAGTAAATTTCACACGCAAATGTGTTTTTATACAGCCATAAAAGAGGTTTAGCCCAAAGATAAAAATTCTATAAAAATGTTCAAACTGGTGGAAAAATGCCTGTTTCCCCGATTTCTTAATTTTGACGGCTGATTTCACCTCGCTGCCTCACACATATATATATTTATATATATATATATATATATATTATATATATATATATATATATATATATAAGCGACAAAAGAGTGAACAAGTGACTCGCAGTCTGTACCACTGAATGTATTGATATGAGAAATCACCAACAACCAAACTTTCACTGTAGAACGCTATTTTTAGACGCCATGGGGGGCGCCACCACTCGACCGGCACTCCCACTTCTCCCATCACCAGACAAACCCTCAATCTCTGAAGGACAGTTTTTCTCATTATTCTCATCGTTGTAGACATCCGCGTCTACCTCATCGTTAGAATCATCCAGATCGTCCTCTCCGCTACTCGCACTGTAGGAATCCGCCGACGCTGCTATCGCCTCGGCCCTCTCCGCCTCTTCTTCAGGGTTCAAGGACACGGCCTTGACCCTCGACCCCAGCGAGTCTACGATATTGGGGTGGGGCAGGTGCGGTTTTGGCTGACCCGGAACCAGAGCAGAGCTGCGACGGGAAAACCCGTTGAGATAGTTGCGTACGTAAGAAGGGCAGCCGCGAGGGTCATGCGTGGAGGGCTCTGGGGGCGGGTTCCAGAACTCTTGCTGACCTTGGGGGAGGGGCTTCTGGCGGTTGAGGGCGATCTCGTCCAGGAGCCAGGCGGAGAGGTCGTCCGGGAAGAACGTGCTGAACGCTTGGCGGATTTTGCTCTCCGACCTCACGAGCCGCATCTGGGGAAGATGGGACATTTGTTTCAGTAAGTAGTTTACTGCACTTGCAACTTGCAACACAATAAGGTCATAATGTATAGATCTCTATATATATATGTAAATATATATATATATACATATTATATATGTATATATATACACATATTATTATATTAAATGTGAGCAGCAAGTCAACCACATTTTAGTTTTTGTTTCACTAAGAGTTTTACAGAACTTGCAACACAATAAGGTCATATAAGTGCCGAAGATTAGAGGTGTTACAAGAGAGTAACAAGCACAAAAAAGCAGGAGGAGAGATAAGGACGATAGATGTTTGATAGGAAAGAAGGTGCAAACCACACAAGAGCACCTGCCAACAACCCACAGAAGAAGTCAAACATTATATCAAAGAAATTTATGTGGCTATTCACCCACATGATTAAAGTCAAAATGTATAGAACTTTATAGTATATATAGTAAATATATAGTATACATATATATTAAATGTTGTTAGCAGCAAAACAACGACATTGTAGATTTTGTTTCACTAAGAGTTTTACGTCACCTGTAGCACAATTAAGCCATGTAAATGCTGATGATCAGAGGTGTTCCTAGATAATACCATACAAAAAAAAAAGATGGAAACAGGAGGAGAGATAAGAATGAAAGAGATATTTGATAGGAAAGAAGGGGCAAACCACATCATAGCACCCGCCAACCACCCACTTCGTCTACGAGTTCATAAGAACTTCAAAAACCATAAGGACTACCACGACGACAATGAAACAATGACAACATTGAGGAGAACAAAACTTATGATAAAGACAAGATCAAGAACAACAATAAATAGCAACAAAGACAACAACAACAGCTACAACAACAACAACAGCTACAACAACAACAACACTTATGACAATGTTTAAGTTTTAGGAAGTGCTCTACTGCACTTGCAAAACAATAAGGTCATGCAAGTGCCGAAGATTAGAGGTGTTACAAGAGAGTAACAAACACACAAAAAAGGAGGGGAGATATGTTTTAGTAGAGGTTTTTCAGCGCTTGCAACACAATAAGGTCATAATTAGTAGTGCCGAAGATTAGAGGTGTTACAATTGAGAGTAACAAACACAAATAAGAAGGAAT